TCAAAAAAAAAAAAAAAAAAAAAAGAAGCCGGGCATGGTGGCCAGCACCTGTAATCCCAGCTACTCGGGAGGCTGAGGCAGGAGAATCGCTTGAACCTGGGAGGTGGAGGTTGCAGTGAGCCGAGATCACGCCATTGCACTCCAGCCTGGGCAACAGAGCAAGACTCCATCTCAAAAAAAAAAAAAGAAAAAAACCACTTCACCTGCAATCCTTATGTCTGAGAATAATATGAAGGAACAGAAAAGCCTCAAGTGAGTTTGTGCCTGAGAAATCTGGTTTCACCCCTCCTCCCAAACAATAAAATGCTATCAAGACTTAAAAGGTTAAGGCAGGAGGATTGCTTGAGCCCAGGAGTTTGAGGCAAGCCAGGGCAATGTAGCAAGATGCCCACGCTAAAAACAAAAATAAATGTCAAGACAATTTCCTATGAACTGCAGTTTTCTCATCTGAAAACTAATTCTATAATATAAACATCGTAGAAATTCATTTTCTAAACCTTCATGCATGATTACAACAGAGTAGTTGTGGCTTTAAGAACATATTATACCATATATATGAGGTTTTCCTTAAAATTTAGCCCAGAACTATGGACACTTTGGTTATTAAAAAGTTCTATTTTAAAGAACTCTACTACACTAGCTCTTCTGAAATTTTGTTTTATCAGGGGCTGTGACGATCGGACCTACTATCTTTTAAGAGTTTTATAGTTCTCTTACCGGACCTACTATCTTTTAAGAGTTTTATAGTTCTCTTACACTCAAAATGTTAGGGCAAAAAGTGTTCTTAAAGAACACTGAGTTGGGTTCAGTGGCTCACGCCTACAATCCCAGCACTTTGGGAGGCTAAGGTGGGAGGATCACTTGAGGCCAGGAGTTCCAGACCAGCCTGGCCAAAAAAAAATTTTAATTAGCTGGGCATGGTGGCACTCACCTGTGATCCCAGCTGAGGTGGGAGAAGACTGAGCCTGGGAGGTCAAGGCTGCAGTGAGCTGTGATAGCACCACTGCACTCCAGCCTGGGCGGCAGAGCAAGATCCTGTCTCAGAGGGGAAAAAAAAAAACTGGTCCAACTCCTCTCATATCAGTTGCTGAATATGCAGCACTGAACGATAAGACTCTGCACAGGACCCGAGATCTGTAGCATGCATTTTATGTAGGTATATATTACATAGATATAATTTTGTATATCTCGTTATAAGCCATCTCGTTACGATGGCTGTAACGAGATTTGGATAGAATTGAGTGTTGACTCCATGACAGAGAGTTCGTAGCCAGAAATGGATGTTGTGTTAGGCATGCTCCACTTGTCCCTACTGTTGTCATCACCAATCTGGGAAGACACTGCTAGTGTAAACCAAAGGCACCTGCTGAGGCAGGTCCACACACCACCTCAGGGAGCTCCCATTTCCCTGACACTGCACGGTGGTGTCCTGCCATTGCTCCTGGTGAAATGGTTGCAGCAGGTGACAGGGTCAACCTCTTCTATAAAATAGTTCTAGGGGCAATTGGAACCAAGATGACTTGTGTATCTTCCTGTAACATGCATGTAACAGCTGTTCCTTCTGTAACACCTCTCGTCTCAGACGTTATTAGACAGCTAATTGTGGTCCTTTACATTAAAGCTTCCCTAGGAAACTAACAAAGTTACAAAGGTGAGTGCTAAATTTAACACTTGACCTCCGTTTCCATTTTAGGCCATACCCTAAAACTTACTTTGAATGTACTCGTAGCTGCCCATCAGGAAGAGGAACAGATACCGTAAATGTGTTTGTTTTGCTTCGGCAAATTTTTGACAGAGGGGAGGGGTGGCACTGCCTCTGTTGGAGTATGTTTACAATCTGGCCTATCTGGAAGTTTTTCTATAAAAATCAAACTGGGATTCCAGGGTCACTACACTTAGCTTAGGTCCAATGGTCTAGAAATAACAGCTGATTCCATGTAGAGGGTATTTCATTCAGGCCAGGCCTAGTTCTAAGAGCTTTACTTAACTCATTTAACCTTTTTAATCCATTCTACAAATTAGGACATTAAGGTACAGATCAAAGTTAATTTGCCCAAACTCACAGCAAGCAAATGGTAGAACTTCTAGTCAGATAAAGCAAGTCGGACTCCAACAGCCTGAGTTCTGGAAGCATTACGCCAGCTTTTCAAATGTCAGATTGAGACAACGTAGTAGGCTGTAAAATCAGTTAGGAGGTCTCAACTGGCCATTCTTTCTTTAGTATGTAGAATAAAATGAAAATAGTGTGCCTAACAGATAAATACTGTTTTGTGAACTTTTGGTTTAATATGTGTGTACACAAGCCTATTTATACGCTAGGTAACATGAAATTAATTCTTAAACTGTGATCAAAAAGGCTGATCCCATGCTGTGTTGACTCAGATCATCTGACTCCGCCTAGAACAAGACGGCAGGATCTGAATCTCAGGTATGCGCTTGGCAAAGCACCTAACCCATCTATAGCTCAACGTCTTCACCTATAAAGTGGAAATAGTAACATGAGGATTTGATAAACTTAAGTGCTAACAACAGTGCCTGACCCATAGTAAATTTTCACTATTATTTCCTGTAACTGTATATTGCCATCAATCAAATGTACTTAAAATCCTTCTGGGACTCCTCCCACGTATCTTCCCATATGCTATACAGCGGGTGGAGGTCCGTTCCTTTGAGAAGGCTTGGAACAATTCCCTGCATGGCCCACATGTGGAAAAGAAGATTCCAATATGGCCTCCTTATTCTTTAAACAGAAGAATGCTCTTTTTAGAGTTATCTTTTTAAGTCAAGCAACTGATTTCTAAGGAATAGGGCTAATGAGATTATCCTACTTGAGTTCACTGTTGTAGATTATATTCTTTCCAAAAAAAACTTTATGGATATTGGGGAGTGAGCACGTCATGAGGGGTGGGGTGGGGATGAGTGGAAGACAAGAAAAAATGAAACCTAAAAAGTACAGAGATCGGATCGTTTTCAAAGTAAAGACCTTAAACATGGCTTCATCAGCTCTGGCAGCTCACACACAGGTGAGTAAACACAAAACCGGGGAAGTGTCCCCAGCACCCCTTGCAACAGGGACAGACTGCTGAAGCTGTCAGCAGGGGAGGGTGCAACTGTTCCACTTGCTTCAGCTTTTCCTGCCACGGTGCCTGCTCTGTGACATCCAAAGAGAACCAAAGTGGGACTGGAAACCCAGCTACTAGGAAAGCGTATCATACCACACCCCAGCTTAAAAAGCCTGCCAGAGGCTGCTTGCTGCATTCAACCCAAAATCTAAACCTGTGACCCCGATCTGCTCACGAGATCTCGTCCCATCCTCTCACCAGCTGGAGGTGCCCTGGACTTTGTTCCTTAAACACAGGAGTGACTGTGGTCCCATGCGAGACCGTGATTCCCGCTGTTCCTTACTCCCAGAACACTCTTCGCCCTCGTACAACTGACGACTCCTACTCGTTCCATTTTCAGCTCAAATGCCTTCCCTGACCAGTCAGAAGTCCAAGTTGCCTTCTTCACCCATCTCTAGCACCTCACCCAGTGCCATTTCCTCCACAGCACTTAGTAAATCTCACTTGGTTAGTGACTATCCATCTACCCTTTCTAAAATCTTAAGTTCTCTGAGAACAGAACCTTTTCTTCTTTAGTGCCAGATTCTCAATGCCTGGGTAGTCAAAAACCTAAACCGTAAAAAACGGAGTCCACGCACGGTGGCTCACACCTGTAATCTCAGCACTTTGGGAAGCCAAGGCAGGAAGATCACTTGAGGCCTCGAGTTCAAGCAACATAGACTCTCTGTCAACGCACACACACATTAGCCACGTGTGGTGGCACACACTTGTAGTCCCAGCTACTGGGGAAGCTGAGGCAGATCACTTGGGCCCAGAGGTCTGAGGCTGCAGTGAGCTAGGATCGCACCACTCCACTCCAGCTGGGGTGACCGAGACAGACCCAGTCTCTACAAAATAGATATATAGATACAGATTTAGATCTGTGGGTAGAGGAGAATTCTGTCCAGTCTCAGAGAGTCGGAAAGTGCTTTGCAACAAATTTTAGAAAAAGTAAAAACTCCTGCTTCACCCTTGTCTCCCGTTCCTCTGGCCCTAAATACTCCTAGTTAGAAGTATGCCTTAAGAATTGCGCAACGGCCCCTCAACACAACTGCCCGGTCCACAGGAGCTACTTCATAAATCCACTGCATTGACCTCTAACCTCTGTCCACTCAGAGCAAGAATCCACTGCAACGGACGAAGGGCAAGAGTTTTCACAGGAACTGCTGACACACAGCGAAGACACCAGCTGAGGCGGTGCAGATAAGGGTGAGCTCTGGAGTCCTCACCTTGCTGCCTACCAGCGTGTGATACTAAGCAAGTAACTTCATCTCTGAGCCTTGCAGTCTTTATTGAGAAATGGAGCTAATGCCTATCTATGTCAATGGGGTGCCCAAGAGGATCAGCTGAAAGGCACTAAACCACTTAGCGCAGGAGTTGGAAAAAATAATAATCCATAACGGGTAGTTGCCATTATCAGAAAGATCCAGGCCAGGCGAGGTGGCTCACACTTGTAATCCCAGCACTTTGGGAGGCCGAGGCAGGTCAATCACCTGAGGTCAGGAGTTTGACACCAGCCTGACCAGTATGGTGAAACCCCATCTCTACTAAAAATACAAAAATTAGGCCGGGCGCGGTGGCTCACGCCTGTAGTCTCAGCACTTTGGGAGGCCGAGGCGGGCAGATCACTTGAGCTCAGGAGTTTAAGACCAGCCTGGCTAACTCGGTGAAACCCCATCTCTACTAAAAATACCAAAAAATTAGCCGGGCGTGGTGGCGGGCGCCTGTAGTCCCAGCTACTCAGGAGGCTGAGGCAGGAGAATGGAGTGAACCCAGGAGGTGGAGGCTGCAGTGAGCCGAGATCGCACCACTGAACTCCAGCGTGACAGAGTGAGACTTGTCCCCCGCCCCACTCCCACCACCCCACCTCCCCAAAAAGAAAGATCCATAACTCCATTCTCATTCTTGACCAAGCCACTTTAATTTGTAACTTTAAATATGAAGTCGATAATCCTCGAAATTCTCACCTGGCTCCTGCAGGAAAACAAAAGTAGAAAGTTTTAAGTACTTTTATATTCACTAATTCAAATCCATAATTCATTTATTCAATTATTCAAGTCTTTATTGAGCACTGATCATGTGACAGCCTTGTCGAGGAGAGAAGCAAAATCACCCTTCCTCGCTCAAGGGTTTACAGTTCAGTCATTAAAACAAACTTGTTGGCCAGGCACAGTGGCTCACGCCTGTAATCCCAACTCACTGGGAGGCTGAGGCAGGTGGATCACTTGAGTCCAGGAGTTTGAGATCAGCCTGGACAACATGGCGAAACCTCATCTCTACAAAATATGCACAAATTAGCCAAGAGTGGTAGTCCCAGCTACTGAGAAGGCTGAGGCGGGAGAATCACTTGAGCTCAGGAGGTTGAGGTTACAGTGAGCCATGATCACACCGCTGCACTCTAGCCTGGATGACAGAATGAGACCCCATCTCAAAATAAAATAAAAAAATTAAATAAAATAAAAATAAAATAAAATAAATTTAAAAAATAAATATAAGTAAAATAAAAGCATGTTAAATAAGAACATCTTAACCCCTAGGGGCTTATGGGGAAAGGGAAGCTTCTTAGTACCTCCCTTTTTAAAGAAAAACTCTTGACTTCCTGACCTGGAAAAAGAAAAAGCCATAACCCTTTACTGTTTAAAGAGTTAATTTTCATATAGTTCTATATAGTAATATTCCCATATGCTGGATCTATTTAAATGTTGAGAGCAGGACACTGTAGTTCTGCAGCTACATACTGTAGGCTCCATCTGTCTTGTTCACCACTGTAGGCCTGTGCTTGGCACAGAATTGGTCTTAATATATCTTTGATCAGTGGATAGATAAATGAAACCCTAAAATTATAACCTAACTTAGGAAAAAAAATTTTTTTTATTATACAATGGGCCAGGTGTGGTGGCACACGCCTGTAATCCCAGCACTTCGGGAGGCTGAGGCAAGAGAATCATCTGAGTCCAGGAGTTCGAGACCAGCCTGGGCAACATAGTGACACCCTGGTCTCTACGAAATAAAAAACGTAAATAAAATAAAACATACAATGAAAAGAAGAGACCAAAGCAAATGTGAAAACTTAAGACAGAAATCAGATACATGGCCAGGTGCAGTGGCTCACACCTGTAATCCCAGCACTTTGGGAGTCTGAGCCTGGCAGATCACTTGAGGTCAGGAGTTTGAGACCAGCCTGGCCAACGTGGCAAAACCCCGTCTCTACTAAAAATACAAAAATTAGCTGGGTGTGGTGGCATGTGCCTGTAATCCCAGCTACTCACTTGAACATGGAAGGCAGAGGTTGCAGTGAGCCAAGATCATGCCACTGCACTACAGCCTGGGCGACAGAGCAACTCTGTCTCCAAAAAAAAAAAAGCAGATACAGGACTTGGTTAATTCAGCTTCATGCTGTTAGAATATGCAGTTTTTTCAAATCCATCATAGGCATAAAGTAAAAACTAATGTTTATGAAAAAAGGTAAATATGACATAAAGAAATTTGGAGCACACCCACTTGTACAGAGCGAGTCTGAGTCTGTATCTTCAGTCTTCATTATCAGGAGGGATACCTAGTTCTTCATCTGTCCACTGGGAAGGATCAGGATACGGAAAGTGACCCTGGTGACAACCATTTAAAAGAAAGAAAAGTCAAGAATTTACATTCCATGCAACTAATTAAATTGTTAAATAAATCTTGGAAAGAAAACAAACCAATATGGCTCAGCCGCTGACCACAGGAACAAATTCTACTTCAATTATTCGATGGCCCACCTGTTCTTTAGTTTATTCATTATATGGGCCCTGGCCTGAATTTTAAAAGCCTCCCCATTTGGAGGTACCAGCCTAAGCCAATGGTACGTGTTTGTGATGGAGGGAGGATGGGGGAAGTGGACGCAACAGGTTTCAAAGGTTCCTGACATCCTGGCAGTCCTGGCAAAATGTTTCCACCTCTCCTAACATGACTGCTGTGAAATGGAGAAGCCTCAGGAGAAGCCTCAGGTGGCCTTCCTCATCTTCAAGCCTGATCTAAGGGCTTATCTGGCTGCATCATCATCATCTCAGACCTAACAGCTATATACACTATGTCCACTCTGGACAACTGACCGACAGTGAGGCAGGGGCACCTCAAATATTAAATGTGCTGCCAGTTCACAGACACCCAGGCAGCTCCTTACTGAAGGACAACGGCACAGAGAAGTTCTAAGAGAAATGGGATATGAAGACACCTGATGCTTCTAAAACTTACATACTGCTTAAGATTTTTTTCCTATCCTGGAAACAAACCCAAATTTACTAAAATTCAAAGTATTCTGGATCAACAAGCACAGATTTCAATGTCTTAAAGGTGTAATTTCCTAAAGAACAATCTGCAAATGTGGTAAAACCTCAGTTGAGGCTAACGATATGTTAGAAAATCACTAAAACTAACTTCCCTTCTCAAGACAAATTCACTCATATCCATCCCACCCCAACCTGGCTGCCCTGCGCCTCTGGACAGACTAGAAGACACTCGTCACTTAACGGAATGTAAGTGTGAAACCTAACCTACCAATGAACCGCTAGTTCAGAAGCTAAAAGAATTCATTTCTGGCCGGGCGCAGTGGCTCACCCCTGTGATCCCAACACTTTGGGAGGCCGAGGCAGGTGGATCACTTGAGGTCAGGAGTTTGAGAGCAGCCTGGCCAACATGGTGAAACCCTGTCTCTACTAATAACAAAAAAAAATTAGGCGGCGTGGTGGTACACACCTGTAGTCCCAGCTACTCAAGAGACTGAGGTACCAGAGTCACTTGAACCCGGGAGGCAGAGGTTGCAGCGAGCCAAGATCGTGCCACTGCACTCCAGCCTGGTGACAGAGTGAAACTGTCTCAAAAAAAAAAGTTAGCTTCTAGTCTCCCTAGGATGGCTACCTAACAGAAACCTTAAGAAACCAACCACCTAAATATACATCCTCGTGTAAAAAAAGGTGAGAAGATAACGTTTCATTAAATAACAGGAGTCTCACATATACATATGGACAACGTGGTGGCAAAGGGCTATGTCCAGACAGAAAAATGGTCTACAACAGAAAAATAAACCAATTAAGCTATTAATACATCCTCCCTCCCCCTACCCAAAAAACGACAAGAGCTGTTCTCCTGCACTTACCAGCACGTCTTCTGAGTCATGCCAAAAGCGCCAGAGGATCCAGAACCACATGAATCCACTGTATAACTCGCCCTGGAACACCTGGGATCTGGTCAGCTGGGGGAACTGTCTATACCGGGGCTCAATGTGCACACCCCCACTGGCACTGCAAAACAAAACAAGGCTGACAGCGTGCCCGTTCTCAAAGCATTACGTCATCCAGAACTCCTGCGAGTGACATCCTGGAACCAAAGCTAATGTTTCTCCTCTCCACTGAAATACACACAGTTCACAATCCCTTGAAATACTCATTTTTTACTAAGCTTGCTTCATGTGTAGCAGCAAAAACTGACCAAAACTGACAAGAGGCTCATTTTGGTTTTCAATTAGTGAAGATTCATTATTTTGCACTAGAAATTTGAATGTGTTGATTCTGGGGTGCCAGCTCCAAAGGTTTTAGTTAAGAGACTGTGAACTTGTTAGTAGGTCACTAACTTACTCAGAAAAATAAATTAATTTTGTTTAGCTATCTATCTGAGAGGCAAATTATGTCCTCTGCCTATTACAATCTTTATTAAAAGGCAACCATATGGGAAAGAGGACTCACAAATCCTATTAAATATGCTAATGGCTCTGAACAAAGAACTTTAAACAGTAAGTTTGAAGACGTGTTTCTTTTTACTTCATTTAGACTTTTGACAAGTTGCGGCACAGAGTCCGTAAGAGTTATAGTCAATGTATTCAGTTGGAGTATATACGTTGCATCTAATTTAAATTATTTGTACCTACTGGGGCTATTCCTAAAACCTATTCAGCAGCCATACATACGCTAATACACAAAAGTGGATAAAAAAATTTTTAAAGAATTCCTATATAAAATATGTTTACCAATTTCATCTAGGTAGGAATCAGCTTATCAACCATATTCTCTTTTGTGCAGCACAGAAATTAGTACCTGTACAAAAAGTGCATTAAAATGTTTTGTCTTCCTAATGCACAGATTCGTGAACAGTAACATGGCAGTGGTTCTTGATACACGTTAGCTACGACTGTTTGTTTTGTTTGTTTGAGAGAGTCTCACTCTGTCGCCCAGGCTGGAGTACGGTGGAACAATCTTGGCTCACTGCAACCTCCGCCTCCCCGGTTCAAGCAATCCTCCTGCCTCAGCCTCCCACGTAGCTGGGACTACAGGTGTACGCCACCATGCCCAGCTAATTTTAGTATTTTTTTAGTAGAGACGGGGTTTTACCATGTTGGCCAGACTGGTCTCGAACTCCTGACCTCAGGTAATCCACCCACCTTGGCCTCCCGAAGTGCTGGGATTACAAGCGTGAGCCACGCTCCCAGCTGTTTTGTTTTTTTAAAGATAGGCTCTGTCGCCCAGGCTAGAGTGCAGTGGCGTGACCTTAGCTCAAGCGATCCTTCTGCTGACTGAGCACCTCCTGGGCTCAAGCAGTCCTCCTGCCTCAGCCTCCCTCCCAAGTAGCTGGGACTACATACAAGTGTACACCCCCAGACCTGGCTAACTTTTATATTTTCTGTAGAGACAGGGTTTCCCTATGTTGCCAGTCTAGTAGACTGTTTTTATCCTCTCCCACTCTAAAAGATAACTGGCAGTTATCGAGTGTTTACCATGTGCCAGATACCACACTAAGCATTTTATAAGTTTTAACTCACTTAATTTTCATAACCTTACAATACGGCCTGTAATTATTAATGATTTACCAATGAGGTGCTATGTGATGGCAACGCCCAAGCTCTTGCCCACGAACACACACCATTAACAATTTTCTCCTTTTATTAATCAAAGACATAACTTTTAACTAGAATTCCAACCAGCATAAAACCAACATTACCACATTGAAATGATAAATTCCACTTTTTTTCTAAATAGTCATCCAAAATTTAACAATTTTATTTGGAAGCCTCTATTTAGAGTATTGATAACTAGTTATGAATAAGGTGATGTTTATTTTTTGCAGATGTGTATATATATGTACTTTTTAAGTATCATGTTTAAAAAGGTCCTACCAAATATCGCCACTTTACAACTTGAATGACATAGCAGACTGTTTCCATAATGTCCTCATATACCAATATTGTTTATTCAGGATCTACCTGTGTGTATAGATATTACATTATGTAAATAAACCATGCAGGATCATTCCATGAAGTGTAACATGAGCCTTTTTTTTTTTTTTTTGAGACAGAGTCGCGCTCTGCCTCCCAGTTCAACCAATTATCCTGCGTCAGCCTCCCAAGTAGCTGGGATTACAGGCATGTGCCACTATGCCCAGCTAATTTTTGTATTTTTTAATAGAGACAGGGATTCCTTATGTTGGCTAGGCTGATCTCGAACTCCTGACCTCAGGCCAACAAGATCCTTATTCTTTGATAGCTTTTTGATACAATCTAGGTATAAGTGCCCAGCAGTAAAACTGATTAAAACAAGATTTGAAGGCCGGGCCCGGTGGCTCACGCCTGAAATCCCAGCACTTTGGGATGCCAAGGCAGGTGGATCACCTGAGGTTGGGAGTTCAAGACCAGCCTGACCAACATGGAGAAACCCCATCTCTACTAAAAATACAAAATTAGCCGGGCGTGGTGGTACACGCCTGTAATCCCAGCTACTCGGGAGGCTGAAGCAGGAGAATCACCTGAACCTGGGAGGCGGAGATTGCAGTGAGCCAAGATCATGCCATTGCACTCCAGCCTGGGCAACAAGGGCAAAACTCAGTCTCAAAAAAAAAGACTTGAGTAATGCCGATGCCAGCATTATAGTTCAAACCCATCTTAGCAGCTCCCCACGCTTCATTATTGCTAGAGTGACATGTTGTTTTAATTATAACCTGAAGTAGGGACTGCAAGATGGAAACCTTTTGGAACAAAGATTTGAAAGACTGCAATTATACCACAGGAACAATGACAACAGTTGCCATGATTAAGGAATGTAAAGACTCAACACCAACTTCACGATGTTATGTTCCAAACCAGGTTGTGAACTGCACTGTGGCAAACTAGATACCCTGAACAACCCTCCAAATTAAACAACTACGCTTCTAGATGAGATTTTTAAGATTTTTACAAACATCACTGACCAGGCACAAAAGGAAGGAATCCACCAAGGGCAAAATCCAAGTAAAAACAAGGCCTGGAAGCTAAGCAATCACTGACGCTGCCTTCACCGGGAGCCCTTGAACCTCCCCCAGCATAGCTACATGAGGTGTGGGGACAAGAGACGCAGCCTGGAGCCCACCCAAGGTGGGAGGGCTAATGACGAGATCGCTGAATAAAGCTGCGGCCCCATATGGTAAAAGGGTGAAGAAGAAATAAACCTTCCATGGACAAGGGAACACGAATTTGTTCTCAGAAGCCAGTCCTCAGGTAGATTTGCACCCAAATTCACACTACCTGCATTGGGCCTGTGTAGACCAAAAACCCCAAGCCAAGAATTTAATGTGAGCTTGAATTGGGGCAGCGCCCTCAAGAGACTAAGAGAAGCAAGATCTCAAAGAAGTTCCAGGGAAAACAAGTTCAAGATCAAAAACCATAAGGGAGTAAGACACTATGCGCAAGTCCTGTAAGAAGGAAAGAGAACAGAGAAGAAACAACATCCAAGGAAATAATGGCTGTTCCAACTTCGAATGTTTGAGAGTCAAGTTTAAAAACAAAAATGCACCGTAACTGTTAGTTACATTTTTATTTTTTTGAGATGGGGTCTCACTCTGTCACCCAAACTGGAGTGCAGTGGCGCGATCTCGGCTCACTGCAACCTCCGCCTCCTGGGCTCAAGCAATTCTCCTGCCTCAGCCTCCCCAGTAGCTGGAATTACAGGCGCGCACCATCATGCCCAGCTGATTTTTGTGTTTTTAGTAGAGATGGGGTTTCACCGTGTTGGCCAGGCTGGTCTGGAACTCCTGACCTCAGGTGATCTACCTGCCTCAGCCTCCCCAAAGTGCTGGGATTACAGGTGTGAGCCACCGCGCTTGGCCAAAGTTACATTTTTAAAATATAAATCAGACCACATTACTTTCCTGCTTTAAAACTCCAATGGCTCCCTGTGATTCTTAGAATAAAATCCCGAGTCCTCCAAAGCCCTCTCTAATCTGACCCCACACTTGTCCCTGTGACCTGGTCTCTCCCACTCTTCGCCTGCGCTCCACTCCAGCCTGGCCTCCTGCCAACCCTGCGGGCTCCGGCCTCTCCACCTGATGCCTCCTCTGCCCTCTTATGTCCACCGGGCTCTTCCCTTGAGGTCTCTGCATGGTTGACTTCTCATCCCTCAGGTCCCGCTTCAAATCACACTCCCAGGCATCCCCACGCCATCCCCAAATACAATATCCCTTCTCCTCCCACACCACGCACTCTCCACATTAATCCCCAGCTGTATTCTTCTCTTCGTAATCCTTGACAGCACCTAAAAAATGTCCTTCTTCTCTACTTGTGTCTCTCCTGTCCAGAAGGTGCGCTTCATTCTCTCTCATGTATTCTGCTATATCCTCAGCACCTACATAGCAGCGGGCATAGAGAAGACGCTCCATAGACACGTACGCACTTAATTATCACACCCTCGAAATCAGCGTGTGCTACGAACAAGCCAATACCTCAGGGAGGAGCAGCATCCCCCCATCTCCTCACGCAGGACCAAGGGCCGTCGCTCGTGGCTCTCCATCACTCTCTTTGCCCAAGTCTCAGAGGACTTTGCCTTCTGCCCACCTGACACCTGCCTCAGCTCCAGATTCTTAATCCATGTGGGACTTCATGCAAGTCACTCCTTTCATTTCCTGGGCCTCAGTTCCTTAATAACAACAACAGTTAAAGAATACTTGTATGGTCCTTAGCAGGCACCAGCAATTGCTTTAAACACTTTAGTGAGGCCAGGCGCAGTGGCTCACGCCTGTATTCCCAACACTTTGGGAGGCCGAGGCTGGAGGATCACCTGAGCCCAGGAGTTACAGGCTGCAGTGAGCTGGGATCGCGCCACTGCACTCCAGCCTGCGCAACAGTTAGACTCCATCTCTTAAAACACACACACACAAAAAACAAAACACGCTTCAGACAACAGTAACTCATTTAGTTCCTTGTAAATGGACGCTAAATGGGTGAGAAAACTGAGGCATTAAGAGAATAAGAAACTCTTCCAAGGTTCCGCTGCTGGAGTGTGGCAGAGGTGGGATTTGAACCCAGCCACTGTGGGGCCAGAATCCCGCTTGGAATCACGACCCCACACTGCCTCTTGGTAAAGCGTAGCTGATGATCTAAGGGATCTGGAATCATCCATTACTCTTTTCCAGCCCTGCTCTTACGGAATCTCCGCACACCACTAACTGGGCTTCGGCAGGTGCTCCCGGCCTCGACCCCCAGCCCTCAGCCCTCCGGTCAGCGTCTCGGGACACCTCGCGGGCGGCTCTGCCCGTCACTCTCCTAAACGCCGCAGCTGCCCCAGCGTGGGCTTCCGGCTTTCTTTCCTCTCACCCGACGGCGCTCTCTCTGGGCGGTCGCCTCCACTCCCTGCAGTCGGAGTGATTTTTCAGCATTAAAAAGCCGCCACGTGACGTCTCTGATAAAAGGCTGCCGAACCGACTCTACCCTAAATTCCGCAGCCAGGTACCAGGACCCTGGACCGCGCCCTTCCTAGGCCTCACCGCCGCCACCCTCCGCCTCGCTCCAGCAGCGTCCACAAACGCCGCGCAGGCTGCTTCCTCCGCCTGGACCGCCCGCGCCGGCGCCCATTCGCTCAGCCGGCTCCGCATTCACGCGTGCGTCTCCCGAGGGCAGGCAGCCCCTACGACCAGGACAGCCCCGCACACGGTGTCCCATCTGCCCAACGAAGTCTCTCCCTGTCTCCCTCCGCCCAGCGGGGTCCCTCTACCCGAGCCGCGGCGTCAGGGGACGGGAGGACTACATGTCCCAGCATGCCTCGGGACGCGGCCTCTCCAGGCGCCCCAGTCAAGGTGAGAGCGTCCCAGGGACCCGCGCTGTCCGCTACAGGCCGGCGAGGCCCCCATCCCCTGCCGGACACTCACTGACGGACTCCACCATCTCCAGCAGTCCGTGCGCGGCCACTTCTGAAAAGGCGGCCTCCAACGCGAGCGAAAGACGGCAGCCGAGTCAGGGCGGACATGCTCGCCTGCGTCCGCCCCGCAGTCCCCAGCCGCCTCGCCCTCGCCTACTTCACTTCCCTGGCGCCCCGCCTTCCGTGACGTCACGGAGTCGCCCATCTCCAGGAGTGGGGGAGGTGGCAGTTGCTACCGACTGGGTTCTTTAGCTGCTGCAGGAAGCGTCTCTCCTGAGAGCAAAGCCCACGCATAGGTTCTGGTTGCTGAGCTGCCCCGTGCCTCCTGAAACAGCTTGTTGGTTGCCCCTCTGATCCTGTAGGGCTCTCCCCCTGTTCTCCTGCCCCTCCTAAAACTGAGTGGTGTATAATTGTTTTTTGTTTTTGTTTTTGTTTTTTTTTTGAGACAAGGCCTTCCTCTGTCGCCCAGGCTGGAATGCAGTGACACCATCTCAGCTCACTGCAACCTCTGCCTCCCAAGCTCAAGCGATTCTCTTGCCTCGGCTTCCCGAGTAGCTGGGATTACAGGCGCGCGCCACTGCGCCAGGCTAAATTTTGTATTTTTAGTAGAGACGCGTTTTCACCATGTTTGCCAGGCTGGTCTCGAACTCCTGAGCTTAGGTGATCTGCCCGCCTCGGCCTCCCAAAGTGCTGGGGTTACAGGCGTCAGCCACCGCTCCCGGCATGAACGGTGTATAAATTAGAGGAGAGCATCCGCTGTTTTCTGGATGAAAGTTGACTTTCCAGTCGACATGGAATAGTGTGGCTATTTTTGTCGACTTATTTGCATACTTATTTGTTTTCCAGATATTCGCTAAGAACTCTAAGGGCAAATATCCCTTTCTGCGTTTTGCAGACCGAATCGTGGCCCTCTTCTGGTTATCAGATGAACACCCTATTTGAACGGATGTATTTCAGAAAGTGAGGGAAGGGATGCCAAGCCCTACCACCAAGCGCTCAGCTTCTAAATGCAAATAAGATTCCCATTCAAATTTTAACTAACTGTGAGGACAGACTCTAGGTGACCTCACATACAGCATCTAAGCCCAAATCAAGAAGCTACTCTGGAGTTGGAAGTAGAAAACAAAGAGATGAGGAAAAAAGGTTGTTCACAAAATTTTATGTTGACTTAATTCCCTACTCTGAAAGGTTCACTTGATTTCCCCCTCCCTATAGGTTCTGTTGAGACGGAGTCTCACTCTGTCGCCCAGGCTGGAGTTCAGTAGTGCGATCTGGGCTCACTGCGACCTCCGCCTCCCAGGTCCAAGCGATTCTCCTGCCTCAGCCTCCCGATTAGCTGGGGCTACAGGCACCCGCCACCACGCCCGGCTGATTTTTGTATTTTTAGTAGAGACAGGGTTTCACCATGTTGGCCAGACTGGTCTCAAACTCCTGACCTCAGGTAACCTGCCTGCCTCAACCTCCCAAAGTGCTGGATAACAGGCATAAGCCACTGCAGTGGCCCATGTGCCCCTTTTCTATTGCTGCTGTAACAGCTCCTAGGAACTGAGGCCCTGGGCCCCACACCCCCCAAGCTCACCTGGCATCAGATCCACCCCAGTGAAGCCTGGAGATGCAGCTGCCTTAGGAGAGACCCTGAGCCAGAGGACCCAGCCTACCTGCACCCAGATTTCTGACCCACAGAAACTGGGAGACAATAAATGCTGTTGTTTTAAGCCACTATATTTTGGGATGGTTCGTACACAGCAATAGATAATACAGGCCACAAATGGCTTGATTCGATCCACTGGCTTTAAGGCTGTGTTGGCATAGGCTGGGGGAGGAGACTGCTGTCTTTTTGTCCCTCTCCCGCCTCCACACTGTACCTGAATGGGCACTGGCACAAGGGGCTGTGTGACCAGCTGGTGTGCTCTCCCCCAGCCATCTGGAGCTATCCCAACTCCCCTCTGCCTGCCTTGAACGCCCTCTCAAGACCTGGGAAGGAAAAAATAACATCACCTCCCTAGAAAAAAACTGCACCAAAGGAATCTCTGTCCACCTAAACCATACTGCTCCCTGAAAGACAGGAATGAGGAACTTTATCCTGGAGAAGGAAAGAATGGAAGAAACTAGTCCTGTGGTCAGGGTAGGACTTTTGGGGAGCACAAGGGCTCGACTCCATTCGCTGCCTAGTGGTCTCTAAGACGAGCAATATAATCTATGAAGGTGCAGGGATAAAATGTGATTTTACCTAAAAAAAAAAAAGAGAGAGAGATTAAGCTTTACAAATATCCCCCCTCCAGGCTGACCCCCAGGCCCCTCCTAGTCTGCCAGCCGGCCACATCAGCTCAGCTCTGAGAAGAAAGCCCATGGTTGGGCCTGGCGGAGAGGGGCAGGCAGTGGTCACTGCAGGTATGCCCCGGGCACTGCCATGGAGAAGAGGACATACTGGTTATATTAACTCTGTTCCTATTCACCAAAATTAATGCCTGCAAGTGGACAGGTGCAGACACTGTGGCAGAGAAACTGTAGTGCCAGACTAGTGTGTGAACCCGGGGCCATGTTAAGGAAGTAGCCAAGCTGTTCTGCTCATGTGCCCAGTATGTCAGCCACTTTCATCAGTTTTGTTTTACCTCATAATAAAAGTTAGCAAGGAGTTGGCAAAATCTATTAAAAATTACCAACAAGATAATTTGAAGTACAATGAAATCTGCCCTAAGTGTATATTTATGCTGGCAGGTAGCACCTGCAGGAAATTTATACATAGTGTGTGTGTGTGTGTGTGTGTGTGCGCGTGCGCGCACACACACACACTAAGGAGCAATAGGACTTGATGGCATTTTCTAACCTAAATATCAAAGTCTGGGAACTACCAGCAGGACCCACCTGACCAGGGAGTACAGCAGGTCAAGAAAAGAGAAAAACAGGAAAACAAAATAAATTTATTCGTCCTCCTACACAGAACATTTTCCCTGAAGGAGAGTGTCCCTGGCACCTGGCCCAGCTTCCACAATGGAATGGATAGGCCCCTTCCCTCCTTTTACTCCCTAATTGGCCCAAAGCTTTTGAACAGACCCTCAAACCAAGCGGAGGAAGCCATGATGTGCCTTCTACCACTGGAGGGTCACATTTGAAATTGGTGTCCCAATTTTAAACATCCCAGCTGCCATAGGAGAGGCTCTTGGAAGTGGCCTCCAGCTCTTGACAAAGGCCCACACAGGCCACTGCCCCATCACGGAGGGCACACTGGGCCTGTGAGGAGGAAGGGCCTCGCTGCCTCCAGGATGTCCAGTTTGGGGTCCAGCGAGCGGCCAAGCCCCTCCAACACCATGATGGCAAATACAATGGAGGCAAAGTTGCTCTCAAGCTTTACCTGGAACAGAAAAACAACAGTTCATCTCGGAACCTACTGATACAGGGACGTGTGTCCTGGATAATCACCTTGCTATCCACTCTCAGCCCCCCTCAGACCTGCCCACGGGATGTTTACCATCTACCTGACATTCTGTTCTCTACCGCATCATCTCCCCAACCATCTCATCTACTCGCCCAGCCTCCCATCTACTGGACACACTAAGGAAAAATCTAGGGGTGCAGAATATACTTTTCTAGGTTTGTGTCCATTTGTGCGTATGAATGAATGACCAAATAAATCTTTCACACACATCCCAGACACTATACATTTAAATACAAGTCATTCTTCAAAACCTATGGTAACCTGTATGTATGTATGTATGTATGTATTTTATAGACAGGGTCTCACTGTCACCTAGGCTGGAGTGCACTGGCAAGATCACAGCTCACTGCAGCCTTGAGCCCCTGGACTTAAGGGATCCTTCTGCCTCAGCCTCCTGAGACTGGGACTCTTTTGTAAACAGAGGGTCTTGCAATGTTGACGAGGCTGATCTCGAACTCCTGGCCCCAAGGAATCCTCCCACCTTGGCCGCCCCAAGTGCTGAGATTAGAGGCAGGAGCCACGTCAGCTGGTCTACAATAGCCTTTTTAAGAGACAACACACAGGCTAGGCGCGGTGGCTCATGCCTGTGATCCCAGCACTTTGGGAGGCCAAGGTGAGTGGATCATGAGGTCAGGAGATCGACACCATCCTGGCTAACACAGTGAAACCCTGTCTCTACTAAAAATACAAAAAAATTAGCCGGGCATGGTGGCGGGCACCTGTGGTCCCAGCTACTCGGGAAGCTGAGGCAGGAGAATGGCGTGAACCCAGGAGGTGGAGCTTGCAGTGAGCCGAGATTGCACCACTGCACTCCAGTCTGGGCAAGAGAGTGAAACTGCATCTCAAAAAAATAAAAAACAAATAAGAGACAATACACAATTGACTGCTCAAACAGGGTACAGCTATCCCTTCAGAGCCAGATTAGTAGTAATAGCAATTGACATGGATTATTCAACTGTTCTTCAAAAGTATCATCATTATCCCCATTCTATAGAGAAAGAAGCTGTGGCTCAGAGAGGTTCAATGACTTGCTCAAGGCCACTGAGTGAGGAGGAATAGAGCCAGATTTAAACCTAGAAGAACAGGAATCTGCTTTTTAAGTGGACAGAAGGTCAGGAAATGGAAGGTTGAATCATGGGAAATATTCTTTGTTAGAAATTTAAAAGTATTTGTCTCCATTAAGGGCTGGAAGGTTGTCGGGGGTTGGGCTGATCCAGAAGCAGCAGCATGTGGAGCCCAGGAGCAGCTTGTGGAGTTCCAGCCTGGCGGACTGGCCACACAGGCTCTGGTCCGGCTGGGAACCCAGGGCTCCAACACCTCTGGGAATGCTTTCATTCTGAAGCTGGGTGGTGGGTTCTTGGTGTGGATTGGATTCCTTTACCTCTATGTTACTGTCAAATACTTTATTTTTAAAAATTAAGTGCTAC